TTTTTGTAGCCACCCCTCAGTGCTGGTCCATTGTCTATAGAACTTTGGAATGCTACTCGCTGGATCACTACTCGTCAGAGAATTAAGGGAACGGAGCAGTTATTAGTAAAAATGTTTAGGTTTTAAACGTTGAAAATAAATCTCATTCATGGTAAGGGTAACCGCTGATCCTTACACGAGTCAGGTAAATTTTATAGCCGTAAAAGGTTTGAACCCGGTAGCAAAATGACCACGACATTCCTTCTCTGGACTACACCCACCGGACGAGCAGACCAAACTATCACAATTATATAACCGAACACAAACTTTCTGTTTCGGTTTGGCCCTGGAGATTCTGGGTGCAACAGTACAAGGAGCCTAGTTATTTTTTTATTATCAGGGGTCTCACATATACTGTACTGTGGAGGATGTAATTTACATTCACTTTTAATCTCCTTTTCGCGCGTCAGCGGAACCTGAACTCTGGCTAAGGCGCACGGAGCCAGGCCGGCCAGTACCGTGACCTAAGCTTTGTTTACCCAATTAAGGTCCCCAATTAAGCAGCACGCACTACCATGGGTTAAGTGCCTGTTGGACAAGTTTGAGGTTTTCGTTCTTTATTTACGGCCCCGTCTGGATTATGTTTTTTTCAGAATCCCAGACCAGCTTCCGGTTCTCTTTTGGTCTCAATAGTTTCGCAGTTTTGGTCTAACTCATGTCCTTGCTTCATATGTCGGTGGGAAAATACAGCTAAGAAAAAAGCTTTAACAAAGCTGAAATTATGTAAAAATAATTACCCTAGAGACTCATGCGCAATCGAGAGATAAACCCTCGGTGAATCATAAGAAAGCGTCGTCTGTCTCTCTACAAAAAGCCCAGCTTTTTTTTTTACAATGAGAGCTTGCATTACCATAAATTGTTCTGTACAGAGAATGCCACTCTCAAATAGTATGTGCAGGAAAAATTATATTTAAATTAATGAGTACACATAAGGACAGAGCAATTTTGTTTTAGATAATTTAAAACACTCTCTCTCTGCGTCTTCTCTGACAAGGGTAAACCCCTTGAGCTACTGTGAGTGTCCCAATGGGGTTAAGAATTAGCCGAATTATAAGCGTTCGTCGTCAAAAACGTTGACCGTGAATATCATTTTTCTCTTAAGTACAATGAAAAGTGGTTATTCGTTCGCCGCTAAAGCCATCGCTTTGTTGTTTCCAGCTTGCACACATTGATGCTGATTTCTACAGCTGAGGTTGTCTCTATTCTCCTTAAGAGGTCATTCCAGATTTAAGCGGTAACTTCATCATCAGAAAGCTTTTCTATTTTGCAGTAATACTCCTTTGATTCATCAAGTGACTCAAAATCCAAATAAGGAGTGTCCTCTTGCATCATTTCCTCCAATAACCTCGTGGAGTTTTCAAAAGTCGGTCTCTCACTGGGTTCCTCTCTCCAAAAATCTAACATTAGATGGTATCTGAGAAAGGAATGGTATAAATGAGTGGGTATATCTCAAGGGTGGATCCCCGTTTAATTGTAGACATGTCAGGTATTTCGGCCTCCTAACGGATTTTCATTGGAGTATTTTTATGTATCTATCTCAAGTGATATCTCATCAATGAAGTTACATTCAAGAACACTCAAGACAAATATATCGTACTTGTTACTTGCAAAGCAAGTGCACGAACAGTTCACAAACTCAAGGTATCGATTGCAAAACGACGTTAAATTCAATAAAGAAATATTGCTGGTCGCAACTTACAATGTATCAGAACAGGTGTCCGGTTTTTCCATTCGATATCCAGTCTTGAGAAGATTGTACAACTCTTTGTTATTGACTCCTGGGTAAGGATTTCCTCCTAAATAAGAAAAAGCTATGTTTTTCGCAAAGTAATGTAATGTCAAAGGAGAGAATTACTCAAATCTTTATTGAGAAGTTAGAGGTAGAAAAACCAAAACAACAGTGAAAACCGCGTTAGGCATTGTGCATCACATTCTTTAGACGTGTCCTTACCCATCGTAGAAAGCTCCCAGAGGAGAATTCCAAAAGACCATCTGAAAAAATAATGTTCGTCAGAAAACTTAAACGTAACACCAAATGAACAGTACAGACCTACTTCGTGGCATGGTAAACTGGCGACGGTAACATGGTAAGATGAGGTCATACATACATGATATTTTGACAACATGATCGATACAAGTGGCGATATACATGTTGAGGAACTATCAATTGTGTGTCGCTAGTAATCCGTGACTGCTTTCTTTCTCTATTTAACTGATGTTATTTTGGAATCAATGCAATTTCATGATAAAGTGTACCTTGATACATGTAGCATCTTTATTGAATTCGAGCAGGAACCAACCATTATTTATTATGAGGAG